GATGGCGTGCGATGACACTGAGGGACGGCCAGGTGACTGAATTTGATTCGAATCTGGACGGATCGGACTGACTAGGTTCGATGCTCCTAAGGGTCTCGCCCTGTGTTCAGCGCACGTCGCTGGGGTGGTTTTCGTAGATACGACGATAGCGACGAACGGCGGACCGGAAGTGGCGCGAGAGGACAGCTGCGACGCGTGTCGTGCCAGGCCCAGAGTTCGGCGGGAGTAGAGCTGAGGATACTGGAGTTCGGCCTTGGTTAAGCGATGAGAGTTGAGGCCGGCCGGCTCCAAGACGCAGGAATCGGCGCTGAGGGCAGGCCTGGCAGGTGCGTGGGCCGCGACCGGCTCAAGGCGGGGGGGTTGCGGGTTGTCGGGCCTGAGGCGAGGCAGGCGCTGCGGGATCGTTGGTAGGTTGATTGGTGGCCGAGCGGTGGCTGCCGGCTTTTGAGCGGGGTGAGAGGCGGGACAGAGCTCAGGCGGTTCCCGAGAGCCAGCGGCTGGCAGCTTCAGCCGTTAGCTTCAGGCGGGTGGCGGCTGTGCCAACGGCCGACGAAAGCAGCTGGGATTAGTTTTCGACGGAGAGCAGAGCAGGAGGTCAGGAGTGGGATCCGCGCCGACCGAGGGCGGCGGCCTGCTGGGGTTTTGTCGGTGTGCGAGCCTGGCGGGGCGGAGTTGGGCTGCAGCTGACGTGCGGTCGACCGAGGGCTACACTCGAGCGACGAGCCAGTTGGGGGAGGCGGTCGTGCGCGATGAAGCTCGAGCTCGAGCTCGAGAGAGAGAGAGAGAGAGAGAGAGAGAGAGAGAGAAAGAGAGAGAAAGAAAAAGGTGATCACGAGAGGAGAGAGGGGTGAGCTTTAAATAGAAAAAAATTGAATAAAAAAATAAATTAAAATACTGAGAGAGGATGTGCGTGGACAGCCGTCATCTTGGAAAAAAAGGAGAGAGAAAACGTGATAAGGGGATGGTTGTTGGGGGTTTGACAGGGAGCAACAACTTGGATTATTTTCAAATAGTTTCAGGTATTTAAACGAAAATAATTAAATAAATAGTTACGGGTATTAAAAAATTAAACCAATTACGGAATAATTATCTACAAATAAAAATGTACATGTTGTGCTAATACAACAGTTGATACGAAATAGTTAAAATATACACATATTGTATAATTAAACGAGAATAAATAATAATAATAATATATTTACTTATATTTAAAATTAAATAATTATGTGACAATTATCTACATGATAAAACGTACCCGTTATGCTAATACGATAGCTGATACGTAATAATTAAAATAATACAATAATTTACACAAATAATACGTAATTAATAATTCAACATAATACAAGAATTAATACGTAATAGTAATAATAATACGATGTATTATTTAAAATAATACGTAATAGTATCAGTAATACAACGGATAAATCCCAGAAATTTTTATTGCACTAAATTAATTTATAATATCAAAACCATTTAAATAAATATAAAACTTAGACTTTAAATCATAGAAAATTTCTAGAAAATCGAGAAAAATACAAATACTCTTTTAAAAATCATAATTAAATATTTTAAAATACCAAAAATTTATTTTAACTAGTATCAAAATTTTACGGTCATTACAGAGATGGTTATGGATGGACTATGATGCTAGTCAATAAAAGGTATGAGATAATTTAGATTTAAATTGTTGCTAGATTTTTTCAATTGATAGTCTATATATGTTACTATTTGATTAGGCCTTGTACCTGCCATTCATGAAATATATCCAAAAGTGGAGCATAGACAATGTGCAAGGCACATATATTTTAACTGGAGAAAGGCTCACAATGATAGGGTTTTGCAAAGGTAATTTTAGAAATGTACAAAAGCGAGTATAATGGGAGAGTTTGCATATGAAGCAGCCAAGCTGAGGTGCCTTTCAGATAAGCGATATGATGATTTCATGGATAAGGAATCTCATTCATTTTGTAAGTCTCATTTCAAGACCCATAGCTAATGTGACTCCCTAGGTGACACATGTCTGACTCTTTCAACTCCTTCATTTTACTTTCAAGATTTAAGCCTATAGTATCTATGTTAGAGGATATTAGGCTATCTGTGATGAGGGAAAGGATGCAATAAAAAAATATGCTATTACATAAATTCATTGGTGAAGTTTCCCCTAGAGTGCGTAAAAAATTGGACGAGGCTTATAATGAACAAATTAATTGTGAAGTACGTTGCAATGGCTCAACAAATGAGGATGGTCTTGAAGTGATCTATAAATGTTTAAGCCATAAACTTGACATAGGCAAGAGGACATATTCTTGTAGAGTGTGGGAGTTGACAGCACACATACTGTAAGTGCAATTTTACTCCTAAGGAGAAAACCAGAGGATTATGTATCAAATTGTTATAAGAGTGAATGCTACTTACTTACATATGAATATTTGTTGGGCCCAATGGAAGACTACAAATACTGGGACAAAGAAAGAGAAGGTATGATACTGCCTCCAAATGTTGCTAAGAGAAAGATGGGAAGACCAATACAACAAGAAGGAGAGACTCATCTAAAGGCCTACGGAACACTTCTAAAGAATCATGGCAGGGGATCCCCCAAAGGTGTGGTCATCGCCATTCTAATGAGCATTCAATCAAACATTGTCCACTTGCACCACCAATGAATCAAAGAACTTCAACTCAACATGTAACTAACTGTTTAAAACTTTGTATTTGAGTTGGTTTATAAATCAATAATATTGATTTAAGTCAAATTTTAAGTTTCAGGATGCAAAAGCTCAAACCAATGACACTACTAATTCAAGTCAAAAAAAGAAAAAGAGGAAGACCAAGAGGGAGCAAAACTAGAGTTGTCTTATTAACAGATGATTTGGCACCAACTAATCCAATTCATAAAACTCAGTAATTTATCAGGAATAGGTCTACAAGGGGTGAAAATGCACATCTAGGTAAAGATAAAAACTCACTTATTAGTTGTTGTAAGCTATATGTCTAAGTTAACTTTATTTTTTGTTTGTAAAGGTGAAGCTCAATCTCAGACAACGGAACCTATTAGAGGAAGAGGACAAGGAAGAGGTAGAGATGGTGGAAGGGTGATGAGCAGTCAATAAAGAGTACTTGAAGGCTTTGGTTTTTGGCAGAGAGAACATTGTAAGATGGTCTTCATGGATCCAACTGTTAGTCAATCACATATTGTGATGAATGAAACTCAAAGTGCATTTGAAATTGTAGACCAAAATTAACAAACAATCACAATTTACAACACAACAACAATGAAGAGTACACTAAGTGGGATGGACTAAAGCTTGTAATTTCTATCATGAGACATGTATTTTAATATGTCAGTGTTAATGACATTGTTCTTGGCTTGTTTTTTGTTATCTGTACATGTACCATGTTTGGAAAAATTTTGGTTGTTTATGCAAGGTTGCTTGTATGTTATGTAATATGATATTGGTGGTTTATATGGATCATATGTTATAGTCACTATCAGGTTCGTGCTTGTGTATGTAATTATGACAAAATATTTTTGCAATAAAAATACAGGCAAATTGCTACCAAATTTGCATATAATGTTGTCGATAAGCACATCATTCATTTGCTCAATAAGCATTTCATTTAAACAAGAACAACATAAATATAACACCATTGCATTAAACATTACATTAAACGCCATTACATTACCCACTCAAATACAATAAGACCAACATAAATATAACTAACAACAAAGTAGCACACTTGTATAATTTGAGAGACATTTTCTGTAAAACAAAAGCATCTCTCAATCTGCTAATCTCTTCCAAACTAGCCGCAGTTTCATTTTAGCACAAAAAATAATCACCTCTTTCTTCAACATGATGTTTTCCTCTTCGTAGCTATTGATATCATATTTTAACTGATAATTTTGATGAATGTATGAATGCAGATTATTGCTTCTCTCGTCAAACAATCCATCTAGTTCATTCGTGTGTCAATTCAACTTCATGATTTTATCTCTTAGTAGAGACACTAAATTAGCAGCAACTTTGTACGTTGGTGGATCATGCCATTCCCACAATCCACAACCAATATTCTAAACATTTAGTTCAAACAAAAATTTAGAAAATCAAAAATTTACCCAAAACAAAAATCAAATTAAAGTCAAAGTCACCTTTTGACATCCATAGAACATTCTGCCAGGTTTTTTTTATTAATGAAGGAGGTTAGATAGATGCAATCTAACCCACGCTTACACTTCTTTACGCCCTCAATTTTTGCTTCTTCAATCAACTTTTGAATGAAGTGCAATTTGTTCAATCCTGCAGCCATTCCACTATTCCCGCCAACGACGCTCCTCCTTCACCGTGCGCTTGAGCTTGAAGAGGGCATCCTTCAGATCTCCCGAAGCAATTTTGCCTATCTCCCCTCCGCCAAATAAACCCCAACCTTATTTCCCACCCAATTGGTTGTGCCCTAGTTCATCGTTTCATCCCCGCTTTTATTCCCTCCCAAAATCGGTTAATCAACTCCACATCACTAATCCATGCTACATCAGCGTTTTCTAACAGTCATTAAGGGCCACATGATGTTTACGTGAAGGGTTTCGCCGGAAAACTTAATGCTGACCAGAATTTGGACCTATGTGCTAATTTTAAACTCACTTTAAATATCTAAACGTCATCAGAGATATTTTAAATATCTTTTTAAATACCACTTTGGTAGTTTAGCCCTTTGGGAGACGAATCTATTATAGTATATTAAAGTATGCATAAACTTAATAAAATGACAATCATTTTGGTCTAGTAAACAAACTGTTTTATTCATTAATTTTTACAGGCACATTAATATTCTTACTTACTATTAAATTGATATTTTAGTTTTCTATCCTCGTATTTAAATCAATTCTACAAAAAATGTTGGTTAATTACCAAGCATCTACTCTAACAGATTGCAAGCATATCATTCTCCTTTTAAACCCGCGACGCGGCACCCTCCCCTTATCTTTCGCTCAATACGTACTCTCTTTTGTCTCACTGTGGACTCCAAAATCAACTCGAGTAAAAAAAAGGAAAAAAATAAATTAAATTTTTTTGAGTAAACAGAGGAGGGACTGAGATCTTCTTCTCGATCTAGTCAAAAACCCTAGCTCGAAACTCTAGAGGGCCGGGCCAGCCCCATCACTACAGCTCCAATGGCGTCTCGATGAAGATTCCTCATTTTGCCTTGCCTTCATATCTACGCACGAGATCATTTAGAGTTTGGTGAGATAGCGACCCCCGTCACTTCCTCCTCTCTCGCACTCGCGAGAGATCCTACTCTAGGGTTTTTTGGAATGTGAAGCACTTGAAGGCATTTTAGGTAATTCCCCCTTCAGATCTCTGAGCCGATTTGCTTTTGTTTAGGGTCTTTGGACGGATCTCTAGTTCGATTGGGTTTTTACCGTCTTAATTTGATCGCCGATTTATGTCAGTGAGATTCCTGCACTATTTGGGGTTAATGTAGGTAGTTTTATGTTAAATCGTCCTGTAATTTGATCCCTTATGCTACATTTTACGGTATTTTTGTTAGATTTGTTGTTGTCTCTTTGGGTAGCTTTTGATCGATTGGAGAATGGGATTCTCTGTTGATCAATTCAGCTGTTTTTTTTATATGTAAATTTAATAGGATTTGTGGTTGGGACTAGCAATGCTTGAACAATTTCCCGCATCTGTTGAGATTCCTTTGTTTTTAGGGATATATTTCTCTTATGTTACTTTCAGAGAAAGTAAAATTGGGAAATGCAGCATTGTCTTTGTTTTCTACACAAAGAAATAAGGATGCACTGGGGACATGGGGTTTGATTTATTTTCAGGTGCTCATTTTGTGGTTAAATTCACTTTGTTATGCTCATATTTGGATTCTCTGTCTTTGAAAATATTACTTTTCAAGAGAATTGGAAATTGGGAATTTGTCCTTGTTCCATTACTTTCATTGGAAAGTTAATTGGCCATGCATCATGACCTTTGTTTTGCCGTGCAGAGAACAGAAATGAAAGAGGAAAGGATGATGAGTTAGCAGATAATTAGGTGATTCTTAAGCAATGTCAAGGGTTCCTAAGTGGAAGGTTGAAAAGGCAAAAGTTAAAGTGGTCTTTAGACTACAGTTTCATGCAACCCATGTAAGCTAAGCTTCGCCTTTCAATGCTGGATTTTTGGAGTTGCTTTTTCTTTGAATTAGTTGTACATATAGATCTTCTTTCTAAATATGTTAAGTTGAAGCAGTGGAATATTTATTTTTGCTTTGTACGTCAAACTTTTTCTGTACCTTTCAGTTTTATCATTAGGATCCCATGTGGTCTTCTTTTTTGGTTCCTTGCTTTTGTTGTTAACTTAAACCAGTTGCTAAGAAAACATTTGAAGATTAAAGTTTATTCACCCTTTTGTTATAAAATAACCTATTGGACATAAAAAGGCGTGTTTTGAAAATGCCAACCATTAGCAACCTAAACTATGATTTGTAAAGTACAGCTTAAGTCATGCTATTTTCTGCCTCTCTCCTTATTGTGAAAAAGAATTATGAATGTTATACGGTGTGGAAAGGGCTGAAAGAATCCTAAGGTACATAATTTGACTTGAATTCTGAATTACGTCTAATCCTCCTCCTTCAATTACCATATCCCTGATGCCCATTTTTTCCCTTCCTATTTTTGTAACAAAAGGCATAGTATATTTTCTTGATTTTGGGGAAAAAATCATTCTTAATTATGGAAATTTGGAAATATTGATATGAAGTGCCTTCAATGTTGGTAATTTGTTTGCTTGTGTATTGCTATATTGCCCATGGAAAAATAGTAATGTACATCTACGACAACTGAGCTATCATGAGAATTTGAGAAGTCATATCAAGCCATTTTCCTTGAAGAAGTTCTGATATATATGTTTCCTGCTTAGAGCTCTGTTATATGTGTATTTACTCTCTACTATGTAGAAGGCATGAAAGGAATCAGGTCAATGTAAGCCTGCTCGTGAAAGAGTTGTTTAGTAGGCACTCTTCAACATCAGCCTCCTGCAAAGTTCTCATGAGAGAGGAGCATTTAGTTTAGGTTTTTTATATGTTGGAATTCATGCACGCGGTGTTCCCTGATTACTCCCATGACCATAATAATGATCAAATATGACTACTAGATCATCCTTTGGCATCCCTGTCTTGCATTTGCCTTTTGCATTACGCAGAACAATTACCAGCTATGCACTTCTCTTTCATACTTCTAGATGTATATTGTAATATCTTGGATGTCATTGAGATGTTCCTAAGCTTAATAAACATATGTCGATGCATGTACTAAGTAGGTTAGATGGCGTTATCTGCATGCCATCGACTGTGAGAAGTTGAATACATAACTCATCTGTCCATCTTGGAATTGCTGCATATCATTGCAAATGTTCTTATTCTTTTCCAAATGAACTTACAGTTGATTTTCTGTTGTTGGCAGATTCCACAACCAGGATGGGATAAATTATTTGTATCATTCATCCCTACCGATACGGGGAAAGCAACTGCAAAAACAACGAAAGCAAATGTGAGGAATGGGAATTGTAAATGGTCAGATCCCATCTATGAAACTACAAGACTTCTTCAGGACACACGAAGTAGAAAGTATGACGCAAAGTTATATAAGCTTGTTGTGGCAATGGTATCAATACTGTCATGACTATGGTTTTCTGTTTAATTTATCATTTACACTGAAGTTATTTGCATGCTTTTTTTCCTTCCTTTTTCTTGAATTGTGACTTACAGAATTTGAGGCATTTGTGCAGTTTATTATGTTTCTGAGTTCTGAGATTATTTCTAATAAATAGGTGTTATTAACAATTGATGATGCCTTGAGACAATTTTATACCAGGGGTCTTCACGATCTAGCATTCTTGGGGAGGTTATTATCAATCTTGCTGACTTTGCTGATGCTTCAAAGCCTTCTTCTGTTGATCTACCTCTCAAGGGCTGTGACTGTGGGGCTGTTTTACATGTGAGGCCTGCTTTATGAATTATTAATCCTTTTAACTTAGCCTTTTGCTTGCTCATTGTTTCATCATTTAGTCTTACCACAACATTTTTTCCCTTCAGATCCTATTGTATAGGAGTGTTAGTTTTCTCTTAATCATGTCTATCAACTCCCTGATAACTAAGAAGACTTCACACACGAGGGAGGAAGGGAGGTGCAAAGATAAAAATCAAAACCAGTGGATGTGGCCTACTACACATGAACTATCCAGCAACAAAAAATCAAAAGATTCCAACATCATCAACCCATGCATAACATGTCATCAAATAAATGTTTCAGAATTTTCATAAAGCTGCTTTATTTTTCACCTCTTGATCTATGATACAAGACATATCGAAATCCTTTGAGATTTTGTTTCTAAGTAGTTCATATATAAAAGATCACATCCACTGATTTGAATTTTCACTTTTGGGTTTCAAATTTCAAAATTGGGTTGATAGTAATGAACTATCACCTCATACCCATTTTTTTCATATAGACACGCGGTCATGCGCAGATGCACACACATAAAGAGTAATGCTCTTGTACACTCAGTGGATTAAAGGCTCAGTTCACCAATATTGTCCTTTGATTTACTGTGAGGTGTGTTGATGTGTAATACATGTCAAGGCTATCTTTTCTCAAGATCCATTACACATCACCATGTCTCAAAGCAAATCTAAAGGATAATAAAGTTGGTGGGCAGAGCCCTCAGTGCACTTTTATAAGAGCTTTTCTCTCTCTCTCTCTCTCTCTCTCTCTCTCTCTCTCTCTCTCTCTCTCTGTGCGCGTGCGTGGGAGTGTATATTGAGATGAAAATAGTGGGTTCAGGTGTAATGCTATAATTTTGTCGGTGTTTTGTCCTCTTTAACACTTTGGGGACGACTGTAACCTTCATCAGAAATGATATCAACATTGTACATATTTGAATCTAATGGTTCTGTATTTATGGTAACCCAGGTAACAGTACAGCTCCTCACCTCCAAAACTGGATTCAGGTAGTGCATCTAACTGTAAAAAAATTTCTTTTAATACTCTTACCTACATGCCTTATGTCTGCCAATTTTAATCAGAGAATTTGAGCAGCAAAGAGAGCTTAGCGCGAAAGGGTTTCAGATGCCATCTGGTCAAAGAAGTCATGAACCTGTTGGGACTGCAGCAGCTTCTTTGGAGATAGGAAGCGAACAACTAGACAAGGTATGGTCATTTGTGCCAAAAACGGACATAATCAATTTCTTTTGTTTTGTTCAACTGTGTTATCCTGATTTTTTTCCAGTTTTCCAATCTGCTTTCCGGTACAAATGCTAGAACTATCTGTGAACTTTCTTGAGCTGTCATTCTTCTAACAGTGTCAAATACTATATACGAAGGATATGAATATTTTCCAGGTTACTGGGTTTTTTTTGAATGGAGGGAGAAAACACTTACTTTTAGTAATAGCACAGAAATATATTATATTGTCAGAAGCTGAAGAATTATGATAGCTACATATACAGTATAGTTGTTGGTCATAGCAACGGGTTAACCTGTTGAGAAACACAAATATCTACCCCGATGCGGTACTACAAAGTGGATTATGAGCTACATTTAACATTTGTCATAAAATGTTTTGGATATGCGGAATTATTTTCATATGTATAATCTTGGTTTAAGTCTCAGAACTCTATTCCACTTTCTAATGCTTGTTCATATCTATTTTACCTATCCTAAAACGGACAATGTTTTCTCCACTGTGTTCATCCCTCATTTTTTGTCTCTTTCTTTATCTCTGCATCTAAATAAACATTCATTATGTGATAATGTCTATCTTTAGTACACTTTGTAAAAGTTACCTTATTCAATTTTTAGGAAAACATTGATATGTTTGCACTTTGTTGCCCATCTGTTCACCAATATTGCATACTAAATTGCATCAAATAACTAGAACTTCACTCATTTCACCTAAATACCAATGTGTGTTTTTGCCTGAAGAACCTCCAGTTTCCTCAATATTAGGGCTTTTAATTCTCATGCTTAGCAGAATTTTTTATTTCCCTCAAAAATTTATCAATACCACATTTTCATTAAATTTTCAGCCTCCTATAAAACACATTGCAACTCATATGTAGTATAATTCTCAAGTTCAACGTTTTAATCTTTACATTAAAACCTTACAACACTGTTCATCTTCTCTTTCTCCTGGGGATCCAAAGTTCAGACTTCAAACCTCATTTTATTTATTAATAATCAAATTTATATAATACCTTCAATCCTAGATCTTAATCTAAGACTAATTAACAAATTAATATTCAAATCTTTAATTTCAATCATTTAAATTCTAAGTGGTGAATTTCACCTATGTGTCCAAATCTATACCTATTTATTTGAGCAATAGTGTCTACTGTTATCACTGCTTGGAAAAAAAAAACAACAAAAAACAATAAGATATGTAATCAATCTTAAAAGATTTTTATTCCTCATCCACTCAGTGTGTAGGTTTTACTGAATGCATCTTCAGTTACTTCTGCACTTTACAACACAACCAAGACAGCTTAGCTAGTTAGCATGTGGTATCTCTTAGCTGCTAACTACACTTACGCTTATATAATCCCATTAAATCTAGATTTTAGTTTATCCCCCTTGAGTGTTCAGCCACTTACCATCCATGGGTCTTCTCCACATTTTTAATCCATGTCGAACTTCATTATATGGCTCTCATCTGCTCACATCATAACATACAAAATAACAAACACAAGATATCACTGTATATTGGTGTGAATTTCATCTACTGCAACTGTAGAGGTATATAGGCATAAGTGTATCTCTTATTATTGGCCCACATTGTCTCAAATTTCCACTAGCTATGGGAAACTATTAATGCCCATCACATCCCATATTTCTTGCTTTTATCCAGTCTAAACACATGTTCCATGCATGTCTTATTGATTAGTGCCTTTTTCACAGCAAATGTCCTACACCCATCCAATCCAAAATATTAAGCACTTCATACTACTACAACTATAATTTGGTTTATTATTGGTAACAGGTTAACAATGCGAGGGTCAGGTTCAAGGAAAAGTTTGCCGATCTTCCTTTACTTGAAGAGGTGGGGGAATCAACAGAAGACTATGAAGATTCTGCTGCTGGACTTGATGGTTCATCAAATACCTCAGGGAGCCTTTATGCTGAAAAAAATGAAATATCTAGTATGCATGAGGTTGATAGTCTTAAGAGCATGGCCTCTGCTGATTTAAGTGCACCAGCTCTTTTTCAGAGTCCTAGAATTGTCAAAGGTGATGTACGTGATGTTCGGCTTCCAAAACAAGGGAGCAGTGAGTGGAATCATGGGTGGAGTTCTGACTACTCTGCAGATAATGATCAGGTCACTGCTCATGAAGAGAATAGCCGTCTTAGACTAAGACTTGAAGGAGCCGAGGCAGCTTTTTTGCAGCTTAAAACAGAAACAAAGTCACTTCAGAGCCTTTGTGATGAACTAGGATCAGAAACACAAAGCTTGGCTGGGAAACTTTCTTTAGAGCTTGCTTCAGGGGAGAAACTTACTACAGAACTCTCCATCCTGAAGTCAGAGTGTTATAAGTTCAGAAAAGAACTAGAAGAATTGAAATCTGCTACACTAATGCAGTCTGTTTCTAGCAATAGAACTCCTTCAAATGGAACAATGATGGCAGATGCTTTTTCTGCAGACCAGGACAGTTTCTCCAATCATCATCAGGCGAATTGGCTTCAGGGTCTGTTGCTGCTCGAGCGCAAGGTCCAAGAAATTCAAAATAAGGCACGCATTGGATACAATGGAAGTGATTTTGATTTTCTTATTTCTGATTTTGATGTTCTTCAAGGCATCCTCCTGAATCTTAAGCGGGAACTCACAGACAAGTATTGTCTAAAAGAAACCAAGCTTAAAACTAATTTGCAGACAGATTGTTCTATACAGGGACATGGTTTGGAAAGATCTCAGATAGACCATCACCCAGAAGGTATGCTTCATAGCTCAATTAATTCTCACCCTCTGAAGAAAAGTAATGATGCTGCAAGCATACTAGAGGAGAGAATGTGTGAACTTCTAGAGAAATTAGAAGCGTCAGATGCTGAGAAGGAACTTCTAACCAAAAAAATGGACCAGATGGAGTGTTACTATGAGGCACTAATTCAGGAACTTGAGGAAGGCCGGCATAAAACGGTTAATGAATTGGAAAATCTTAGAACTGAATATTCTTCTTGCCTTTATACAAATTCTGCTCTCCAAAGTCAGATTGAGAAGTTACAGCAAGACACGAGTGAACAGTTCCTCAGGTTTGCAAGTGACAGACATAACTTGGATTCTCTGAATAAGAATCTTGAGAAAAGGGCCATTGCCTCAGAGGCTGCACTTAAGAGGGTACGCCTGAACTATGCTATTGCAGTTGACCGTCTACAGAAGGACCTCGAACTACTTTCGTTCCAGGTTTTGTCTATGTACGAAACAAATGAAAACCTTGCAAAGAACACCCTTACAGAAGCTTCCCAACTATTTCCTCATGATATTCCTATGGAAAATCCAGAGGAGCAATACCGTCTTGCAAAATCTGGAGGTCATACCAGAGATGTAGATTTGAGGGCCAACAATGAAGAGAGATCTTGTATGAACGGGTTGAAATTTGAGAACATTCAAACAAGTTCGCCTCTCAAAAGAGCTCAGAAGGAAAAGGGTCTGGTATTTCACTGTGACAAGAGAAATGGACTTGCGGATGGGTCCCCAATATTTGAGCCCAAATGTGATTCTCAAAACCAAAGTGTTGAATCAAATAGCCAGCTGGTAGATGGTAACGTTGGCTCTGAGGAAAAGAGAAGATCACTGCACACACCGCAAAATCTCCAAGAGGACATACATGCTGAGCTTTCCGAGATGCATATGCTAAATATTCATTGGGAAGTTTTCATGGAGGTCCTGAAGGAAGCAATGCATAGTGCGAATGATGGCGTTCTGCACATGAAGGAAGACATGTCTAAGCTTGTAGAGAATCTGAGACTTTCAACTTCTGAGAAAGAATCCTTGATGCTTAATTTGCATAGCACACTTGATGACATCAGAAAGTTGAGGAAGAATGGAGCAAACTGCCGTTCCGAGTGTGATGATTTAATGTTGAAGAACAATATTCTGGAAGCAAGAATCATTGATGTCTCAGAAGAAAATAGTTCTCTTAGTCAGAAAATTGCAGAATATGAAAGCAAGTACACAAGTTGCCTTGAACAAAGGAATAAATTTGAAGTCATGTTAGAGAAAGAAAGCTTGCAGAGAAGTAGTCTTCAGAGTGAAATCAAATCCATAGACAAAGACTATAAGGCACTGAAGGAAGAATTTGACAATCTATCATCAAAAAACTGTACACTGGAAATAACTATAGATCATCTTCAAAAGAAGCTGGGCGATCTGTGCCATAACATCACAACTTTCAGCAAGGAAATTGATGGTTTTACTTTTGATGATCCATCTCTAAAACGAGAAACAGAAAGCAACAACCATGCTGCTATTGTCTCCCATCTGGAAAAGTTTCAGCACGAGGCATACAAAAAGATTCTGCAACTTCATCGTGCTAAGAAGGAGATAGAACAAGACAGAGATACCGCTCGTTGTTCTCTTAATGAGACAGAATCACAACTTTTGCATGTGAAAGCGAAGTTTGAGTCTGGCTTAGAAGAGTCTAAAATGAATCTAGAGCTGTCAAATACTCTTGTTGAAAAACTAAGGCTGGAGCTGCAAGATGTAGCTGATAAGCTTAGCTTTAGTTTAGAAGCTGAAGAAAAACTCAGAAGCACAAACAGAGAGTTGTCTACGAAACTCACTATTCTGGATATTGAAATACAACAAGCCAATGATGAAAAGAGGGATATCTCTCATAAGCTTCTGCAGTTTGATAATGTCAAGGAGGAACTTGAAAGGACAAACTTACGTCTTATGGAATGCATGCAAGAAAATAAATCTTTAATGATGTGTGTAGAGTCAGGAAAATTGGCATACACACAATTGGAGACTGAGCTCAGCAACTTGCAAGAAGATCTGAGATGTGCCCATGATAACCTGCATGCGGAAAGAGGATCAAGGGAGAATCTGGAGGCTACAGTTTCGGATTTTACATTGCAATTGAAAGAGAGAGGTCAGGAACTACTCTCTTTTGATGAACAGAAATCTGAGTTGATCATGCTTCGGAAAAGGATCGCTGGTCTTGAAACAGAAATGCAGAATTTCCTGTGTAACTCCGAAAAACAACGAAGGAAATATGATGATGAGGTTTCAAGTCTCCACCTCCAAATCGCTGATTTGCAATATTACTTGGCTGAAGTTCTTGATCATTCATTTAGTGCGGACATTAAATTCACTTATCTGAAGTGTCAAAAGCTACTGGAATTTAATAATTTCAAAGAGGAACTTGAAAGGATAAATTTTCGTCTTATTGATTGCATGCAAGAGAACAGAGCTTTAATGATGTCTATAGAGTCTGAAAAAGTGATATCCAAGCAATTGGAAAATGAGATCAGCAACCTGAAAGAATGTTTAAAATGTGCCTGTGATAATCTTCATTCTGAAAGAGGTTTAAGGGATGAACTGGAGGCTACAGTTACTGATCTTACGCTGCAATTGAAGGAGAAAAGTCATCAATTACTATATTCTGATGAAAGGAAATCTGAATTGGTCGCTCTTAGGAAAAGAATTATTGATCTTGAAACAGAAATGCAGCATTTCCAATTTAAGGCTGAAGAATACCGAGGGAAATATGATAATGAGGTTTCAAGTCAACACCTCCTAATTAGTGACCAGGAATATAATTTTGCTGAAGTTCTTGATCATTTCTTAACTGCAGAAATTAAATTCACTTACCTGAAGTGTGAGTTCCAGCTAAGGAGAGAGGAACTTGTTGAGCAAAACAAGGCATTACAAGGTGAATTTGAGGAGCTTCATTTAAAGCATAATGATGTTGTTGCCTCCCTAAGAGATCATATGGCTACTGAAGCACAAGTTGCAGATGAAAATGCAAGGCTATCAACAGACCTTCAGTCTTTGAAAGCTGAACTTGAAGTTGTTGTCCGTGAGAAGGAAGACCTTTTAGGTAACACAAATGAAAAGAGCTCTGTGTTGTCTGCTTTTGAAAATATGAAGGCCAGAGCTGCAACACTGGAAGCCAATAGTATAAGAGAAAAGCTCAAGTATGAAGATGAAATTTGCCAGTTCAGAAACATGCTGGTGAGATTAGAAAAAGAGGTGGAAGACCTTGGATTGTCAAAGGCTGAGCTGGAAACGACAGCGATAATTCTTCAATCTAAATTAAATGATCAACAAGCCAGGATTTCATTGCGTGAAGAATGTGAATACGAGTTAGAGAGGTTAAAAGGGCAGCACAATGAGCTTAGTTACAAACTAGCTGAGCAAATTTTGAAGACAGAAGAGTTCAAGAACCTGTCAATTCATCTCAGAGAACTCAAGGATAAAGCAGAAGCTGAGTGTCTTCAAGCTCGTGAAAGAAGGGAGGCTGAGGGAGCATCAGTTGCCATGCAGGACTCGCTGAGAATTGCTTTCATCAAGGAGCAATGTGAATCGAAACTTCAAGAGATGAAAAGCCAGTTATGTGCCTCAAAGAAATATTCAGAAGAAATGTTATTAAAGCTGCAAACTGCTCTTGATGAAGTTGAGATTGGAAAGAGAAGTGAAGCTTCTCTTGCTAAAAGAAATGAAGAGCTGGCAATGAAGATCTCAGACATGGAAGCTGAGCTACATGAAGTTGTGACTGACAGAAGAGAATTGGCAAAGGCTTGTGACGGGATGAAGACTGAACTGGAGTGTACTACTTTAAGTCTTGACTGTTGCAAGGAAGAAAGATTGAAGCTAGAGGTTTCTTTGCAAGAATTCAGTGAAGAAAGGACAAGACTCAGAGTGGAACTTGACTTGGTAAAAAGATTGTTGGAGAACATGGCATCATCTGCCGCAGACATCGAAGTGCAGAAAAATCAACCTAATAATCAGAGTACTACATCTATTGGGGAAATACTGGAAGATGGAAATTCACCGTCTTCAGGTCGCCAAGAAACACCAAATTTAAACGCTGATTGTCTTGACAAAGGCCTAGGAACAAAGGCTGGTGAAGATGATGTAAATAGTGATGACAGACTGAAACTTCCAAGCATGAGTTCCATGTCAAGCTCAAGCAGAGAAGTGCAATCAGCTCATGTCACTGTGAACTCCCGTCAGCAGAGCCTACCAAATTCTCAGGTAACTTTAGTTACTAATTCATTTCCATGAGAGTATTAGTTTAAATTTTCTTTTTATTTGACTTTACAGGTCTTGTGGCAATATTCTTGCTTTCGTTTGTTTTATATGTCCAGAAACATCTAAAAGCTGGGAAATTGTCAAGGAAACTAATGAAAATTTGAGATTATAAAAAATACCTTTAATCGAACATTAATATTTCTTTAATTAAATAATTTTATATTTCTAAACTCATATATTAAAGAAATAAATATATTGCAGTATTTGATGATTATTCAAAAAATATTTTTTTCGAGTTTAGCTTAGGAGAAGAAATTTGAATTCGGATTTAAAGATTTTAGGTACATAAAAACATGAACACCTCAATATTGAACTTTGTTTGATTTCCAGTTCCAGCCCTGAAGCTTTCTCCTGACTATTGGTTGCTCTTTCCTATTATTTTTTGCTGGCTGTTCCCATCAATAAAGGAATCTGTCATATAGGAAGTTTTGATCAAATTCTTCCGTAAGAAAAAAACAGAGCAATTATTGTTGCAATAGAAGTTTTACATTTTTTCTCTTTCTTTTATATTGTATATTGTTCAACTTATTTTATTGAACAAAATTTAGGATAACCTGCACTTAATTCTGGATATTTAGCTAAATGTTATATGTTTAAGGTTATGTTACATAGTATGCCTCAAAGGAATTTTTTTGGTTAGTTCCCCTCAAACCAAGGTTCCATTTTTGGAGATTTTGGTTCTAGTTTGTGGTATCGGAATGGGGTATTTGATATTTCATCTATCTAACTGGTTTCAGATTGGAAATACTATATCTATGATTTTTCATATGAAGATCTTAAAAAGTAATAAATTGAGAAGTCCAAAAACAGTACTGAAATTTCCATCATCTTAACATTTTCTTTTACAACTTAAGCACTATCAATTTTTTTTCAGTGAGATTGTATAACATAGTACCTGATGATGCAATAATCTGCAAATAGATATGAAATGGGTTGTTAAATTGTGAGATTGTATAACATAGTACCTGATGATGCAATAATCTGCAAATAGATATGAAATGGGTTGTTAAATTATGACCTTATTCCCAATGTTCTGTCTTGTGCAAATAGATATGAAATGGGTTGTTAAATTATGACCTTATTCCCAATGTTCTGTCTTGATTGGAATCTCTTAAGTAATTAACCTTTATATTATTTGACAGAATGCACTTGCAACAAGAAGTTCAATCAACAAGGAAACCTTGTTGGAGAACGGTCAAAATCATATTGATGATATTAAGGAGCATTTCAGGGCACAGCAGAAATTGCTTACCAGCATGGATGTGTTTCATAGAGAGGTACATGGTACTTGAAAAGTTTTAATTTATCATGGGTGAGTTTCAAAGAAATTCTAGATGCAATTGGGGACTAATATTTACACATTAGAAGATATCTACAGCATGTTCCTAGATTTCTATCTCAGAATAAAATAGTTACACTGAATGACCTTAGGTGAATGATTTTAGGTTTCTGAATGGAGAGGTTGTATACCATATTTTCAGTAGAATTGAATAGATAGCCCGTAGCAAATCTGATTGGTAAATTAATCAATAATGTTCTAGGAGGTGAAGATCTTCGTAAATGGTTACATGATCCGCAACACTTTTCTTTAACAACTTGTTTCAGAAACTATTATTCTAGTTACCATTTAACATGTATAGAGGCTAAAATTTGGTTTCTTCTTCTCTGGCATATTCATAAGTTGCAAAAGCAACAAAGACACCAATTTTTTTATTTTTAATTAATTTTTTTTTGGGGTCAGCTATATGCATTATCTAGGTACATGATATGTTACTGGCTATAATTTGATTCGGATGCCTAATAATGCGGTTTGCACTCCAGTCAATTGAATTGGACTTCAAAATCTTCTAATAGCATTGTGCTTGTGCCTCACCTTTCTCTATAGATTATGCGTGCGTAGATGCTAATATCATCAGCACAATATAATCACTAATATATATAAGATTATGCTAAAGCGACCGCATATGAAATCAGTATAGGCTCAAGTTAGGATTATGGATTAATAAATACTAGGGTACAAATCCTATTTGTTATTGGTCATCTTCAGTCCGACGAAGGTACCTCAAGCTTTAGCATAATCTTATATATAATGATCATGGGTGACATGTGTGACATGTATTATTGATATGATGATCATGGGTGACATGTATTATTGAAATGAGCTTAATTTTTTACTGTAGAGGAATGCATAGGAATAGCTAGTCAACTAGGATAGATACGTTTGAATCCTAATCAGATAAGACTCAACTTGTCATGTGGTTTCTTACATTGAACTTTCAGTGGAATCTGAATCGCTAAATATTTTATTTTGACCTTGCAGCTAGAAAGGTTTAAAAATGATAATTTATCTTCTATTGTACCATTAGAAGACCATCATTTTGATTCAGCCCTTCACGATCTACAAAGCGATTTATCTCAGCTAGAAAAGGTACGTTGAGAAATTGTATTGTTATTGCAGGAGTCTGGCTATTAATTTTGTTGAAAAAACCTATTCAACTTCTGTTCAGGCAAATGAACATTTAGGAAGCATTTTCCCTTCATTTAAGGAACTCCGGGGCTGTGGCAATGCATTAGAGAGAGTCCTTGCCTTGGAGCTTGAGCTTGCAGATGCATTGCAGGCAAAGAAAACAGATATACATTTCCAGAGGTAACTATTTATGGTTTTTCTATCAAATTATGAACCTGTTGAGAACTTGTTGTGCATGGTTCCAGAGTTTTTCATCAGGCTATGTATTCTGCATTCCCCCCCATGACCAGTCCTCTCAGATTCTCCTTTTCATCAGTATAACAAAGGTGGTAAATATCTGCATCTTTTGGTGGTAAAACTTGGAGATTAAAAGAGCTATTATTGATTCTGATATTTACCTTTCCATGGCTATTCTCATGTGCAGTGTTTAACATTTCTCCTCTAAGATATAAATTTTCGTTCTGCATTTTCATTTACAATACTAACTCCTCTGTTAAAGAGAGTATGTGCTCGCAGTGCATAGCTTCAGCTATTTTTGTTATGTTTTAGGTGTATTCCTTTTTATTGTCATGTAGTTTCGACATTCATTTCATTTTTTTTTTACAATTACATACTTGGTTAATGCATAATATTATTGCAGCTCCTTCCTGAAGCAACATAGTGATGACGAAGCAGTGTTCCAGAGCTTCAGGGACATAAATGAGCTACTAAAAGACATGCTTGCCCTAAAGAAAAGGAATGCCACTATAGAAACTGAGCTTAAAGAAATGCAGGAACGGTATTCTCAGCTGAGCTTGAAGTTTGCCGAGGTTGAAGGAGAGAGGCAGCAGCTTGTGATGACTCTCAAAATTAGATCACCAAATAAATCATAGAAGACCAGCTTGACGCATTTTTATGGAGATTAGTACATCGGTAATATTGTAGCTTCTGTAGATACGAGCATAAGATGTATATGTCCGCACCCAGATAAGTTGTCCATGAACTATATGTCATAACTTGTTTGTATGTATTTCCTAGTGTTGTATAATCTTTTGCCTTTCACCTTGTAGTCAATGTACACTTTCAAAGCTTCACTGATGCCCTACAATGCTTTTTGCTGCAAGTTCCTTTACTTCCTATGAGTATTTCATGATCTGTTTCCTGCAATCAGATCATCGTCACGATAGGAGAAACAGCGACAATGATGTGGTCAAAATGCTCTCTGCTTGACAATTGTTTAAACTAGAGAGAGGCATCGTTGATTTATAAATGATCTTCAAATTCTCTTCTAATCTTGCAATGTCCCTGATTCCCATTTTTTGTGGTCAGTAAGCCAGAGTTCTCGCTAAATCCAAAGCCAATATGTACATCACAACCGCAGGCATATTTGGGTAATTGCAAGCATTCTTCCAACAAGCAGATCACATCTGCATACACCTTGCCAAGGTGCGAAAATAAAGCATATACTTGGTTTTATTACCTTGCCAAGGTGCGAAAATAAAGCATATACTTGGTTTTATTACCTTATGTATGTGTGTGTGTGTGTTGTGTGTGTGTTGTGTGTGTATGTATGTATGTATGTCTGTGTGTATGTGTGTGTGTGTCTGTGTATGTGTGTTTGTGTGTGTGTGTCTGTGTGTTTGTGTGTCTGTGTGTATGTACGTACGTATGTATATATATATATATATATATATATATATACATACATATTTATATATATATTTATACATGCATGCATCATGCATGCATGCATGTGTGTGTGTGTATGTGTGTCTGTCTCTGTGTGTGTATGTGTGTCTGTCTCTGTGTGTGTGTGTGTGTGTGTGTATGTGTGTCTGTCTCTGTGTGTGTGTATGTGTGTCTGTCTCTCTCTGTGTGTGTGTATGTGTGTGTACGTATGTATGTGTGTATGTGTGTGTGTGTATGTATATGTGTGTGTGTCTGTCTGTATGTGTGTATGTGTGTGTGTGTATGTGTGTATGTATGTAAAATTCTTTGTGATCCTAATTTAGTACTTAAATAAGATTAGAAGCTACCTCTTTTTTTTCCTATAATGAATTGCATCCAATAAGAGTTTCTGTTATATCAATAATATTATCTTTGCTCTATCCCTGTTATTTTTCACAAAGGTATAAACTAAATACTTGCATTTTTTATTACCAATTTGCCATAAACTATAATATTAATATTTAATTTCTTTAGTATTTGAAGAACAACGTATGAAATTTATATGAATACTCTAATTTTGTATATCTTCCATGGAGAATTCTTTTTTGATTGGGATAAAGTTGTTAAATTATTTTCTAACGCAACTCAGTCGGTACTTCTTTAATAGATATGCGTTATGTTAATGCCAATTCAAGTAATTTTTAGATATTTTTTGAATTTTAAATTTATTTCCGTTACTTTTTCATTTGCAATGGAAATAACTTAATTCTTTTGAAGAGTATTTCTGAACATTCTGATAATTTCTCTATATGTAATTCCTTGTATTCTTTTACCTTATAAATATTATTAACATCAGAAATTAATGTTTCTAAATTACAATTAATTAATGCTATGCTATTATATTATAATATTTTATCATTTTTATGGATTTAAACATTTACCAATTAACTTACTAATGTATTTTTCCTGCTCCAACCTATTAGTAAAATTATATGCAATTACTTTAATTTATATAGTGGCTATAATTTTAAGCTATAATATTTTTTAAATTTTTATTCCTTAGCCGAATGTTTTAATCAATTCTTATTGCTTTTGTTTACCAGTATCAACTTATACTAATTTTAGATGCTGAAAAGGGATCGATACTAAACCCTAAATTGGAAATTACACACACACACACATACACACACGCACACACACTCACACACATACACATACACACACACACACACTCACTTACTCACTCACTCACTCACACGCACACATATCTTAATGAAAAATACCAACAATTACACTTTTCTTTCCCAAGTTTTAAAATTTCAGCCATTTTTTTATGGTTTTGAACTTTGAGACTGTGATTTGTAGTTTTTAAAACTTTGGGATAGTTTTTTTAGAAAAAAATCTTTTATGTTTGGTAGTAGTAACTTTTATGTTTCATATGTCGATGGTAATTTTTTTAAATATCAGGATATTTCTTGTAACTTTAAAATTTTGAGGGTGCTTTTTTGTAATTATTAAAACTATAGATTAATTTTGAAAAAATTTAAATTTTCAGCGGTCTACTAATAGTTTCCAGATTTGATGTAAACTTGTTAAAAATTTTAAAATTTTAGATTTTTTTTATGATTTTTAAATTTTGAAGGAGTTTTTTTTATAATTTTTGTAACTTTAAGGTTAATTTCGATAAATTTTAAATTTTTAGGTGTCTGAGGGTAATATCTTGAATTCATCTTTTATTATTTACAAATTTTAAAATTTTCAAATTTTAGGGTGAGTTTTTATAATTTAAACTTTTGAGGTTGTTTCCATAATTTTTGAGATATTGAGAGTGTTAATTAAAAATTTTAAATTCTTCAGATGATGCTATTAATTTCTTAATTTCATGTTTGTTGCTTTAAGTTTTGAAATGTTAGAAATTTTTAGGTGTATCATGATAATCCCTTAAATTCATCTATATTGTTCACAAGTTATGAAATTTTAGAATTTCAGGGTGCTTGTTTATGAACTTTTTAGGGTGTTTCTATAATTTTTATGACATTGAGGTGTTAACTGCAAATTTTAAAATTTTCAAAAACTGCTGTTAATTTCTTAATTTCATGTTTGTTATTCTAAGTTTTAAGACATCGCGATGGTTTTTATAATTTTAAACTTTTTAAGATATTTTGGCAATTTTTAAACTTTTTAGGGTTTTTTTTGTAATTCTTCATGTATTATAGTATGTGAGCTACGTATAATTTCTTTATCTTAACAAACTAATACCATAAAGATGTTTTATATATTTTATTAATATTATTTTTTAAATTGTTAAGCTATAGATAATTCACGTAGGATTAGAATAGGATGTAATGTGAGATGGCTATTCTACACCGTTAGATTCAAATTAATAGTTAGATTTATACTAATAGTTTGATTAATTAAAGATACGCGGCTCCCATATTTATTTGATTTCTCTGTCAAATCTTCCCCAACCCGAACCTGAACCCTAACCCTAACCCTAACCCAACCTGAACCCTAACCCTAACGTTAACCCTAACAAAAACCCGAACCCAGTAACCCGAATCCTAACCAGAACATTAATCCGAACCCTAAACCAGAACCCGAACCTGCTAATCCTAATTTTGACCCTACCCCTAACACTAACCTAAATCAGAAATTAAAATAAAGTATGCATTTATATAATTCAATGGTGTTAACATGACTAACATAATCAATTAAGGAATAAGTTTAATAGTATGAACATACCGTACCAACAAAAGTATGGTGATCTCATGTTCAAGAATCTAGTTTGAACTTGAGCATATAGATCAACATTATGTGGTTATTTTATATACCTGAGTTGTAGTTGAGCAATCTCCATTCTCTTCCAAGAGCTATCAATTTTTATAATTTCATGAAGATAACTTCCACATGCTAATCATATCATCTCTTTGCTTGTGGTATTATTATGGTACTCTGTTGGTTGGTTCCTGTTTAGCACTATCTTGATCTTGCCAACTCCATTTGCAACCGTGTCATTTTTTGTGCCGCATTCATGAATATCTAATGCTATTCAAAGAACGTAAGGTGAAGATTACCTTGAAAACTTGACCGACACTGGATCTTGTATCTTTACATATGAGTGTACGCACTGTGATTTTGCCTTGTATATGTATGATTTGAGAGTTAGTTAACAATAAAACTCACATAAAATGACTTAATGACGAATAGATGGAATACATACTAAAAGATTCCAATATTAATAATACATAATACATAATATTCTTTAAAAGTAGAAATTCTGAAGATTGTTAATCTCTCTTATAACATACACAATGAAATTTTAATCCCAAGAGTTTGGAATAATTTGATAGATCAAATAGATGATAAAAACTTAATAACCAAAATTGATATGAAAAAACCCCGAAAATGCCTAAATATTAGGAAGCAAAATTGATAAATAACATGATAGATTTGAATTAATAATAGAAGTATCCCTCAACCTCTCGTCTACAACTCAAAAATTAAGAATTACAAATCAACTTTACCAATGTGAACATCTTCATAAAGTGAATAGTTTGACTCAAATTAAGCCTTGTGTCTCTGATCATTAAAACTATTTGGAAAAGATAATCTTTCATAAAGAAGAGATTACTCGCTGATGCCGTGAGAAAGAAGAACACGATCCAAAATCTGAAAGAGATCAACTCTAGACCTCCGAATTCTTTCAGATCTCTGTTCTTCCTTGAGCTTTCTTCAAATTTTTGATGAAGATTGAAGGTTGAGAAATTTTTATTGTTTTCTTCGACGTGAGCAAATTTGCTTAAGGAGATTGCTTGGATTTTAGATTAAGCATAAAAAATCTCGCTGCTCTTTCTTTTTCTCTGAGAGAAAGACCAACCAAGGTGAAAGATTTGAATTAATATGACATTAGGTGGGATTAATTGTGCAGATTAGCTGTGAAAAATTAGTTTTTGTCGAACATTTAGAATGTCTGGGGAGGCGATAACTGCTTCAGAGCGTGGATTAGAGAAGAATTTGGTTTAATGGAACATGGCTTTTTTACTAAAAAATCAGAAACTAATTTGTCAATTTGGAATTAGTTAGAAAATTTAATTGGTACAACATACATTTAATTGGACATTTAGAAAGTGGCCGAATTTTCTGTAAGAAAAAATTATTTCTAAAAGCAGCAAGGGGGCTCCATATTTTTTAAGGTGATGACGTGACTCCTTCTGATTGGCCCACTTAGGATTTACTGTTAGTTCTACCTCCAGCTAATGAAAGTTCTAGTGTAAGCATTGGTTCTGTTGCCTTTGTTAGTTCTACCTGAGTTAATGTTAGTTCCACCTGTTGTGAGGATATTTCTAATACTTACAACATTAGAACTAACAAGACATCGATTAGAACTAAGATATTTGACCACACATGGAACTGGAGCTAAAACTAACAATAAATCGAATAGAACTAACAAAATAGCGATTAGAA